TAGAATAGTTAGACTTAGTCTCAGATCTGTCACTTCTGGCCAGGATGCCTTTAGGCAATTTTCTTAACCTTTCTGGGTGTCATTTTTTTCCTGTACACACTAAAATGTTATTTAATTTTTAGTTATTGTGAAAATCAGAGAAAATGTATTGGAAATACCTGGCACATGGTAGGCACTCAGTATATCGTGGTGTTGATACTATCATTGTGGTCATGATCATCATTATTACTAAGTTTGTATAAAATTAAAGTTTAGAAAAAAAATTCTATTGCTTCTATTGAAGTTGTCCCGATTTAGTTATTCCAGCAGACTTCTCTAAACTTGTTGCTAGTACTCAGTTTTAGAAGGACATCAGTATTTAAGAAGAAAAGAATAAGACTTTAGCACTCTTTTCATATGATACCAACTTCTGTTTCCTCAAGTTTCAGAGGCTGGAGTTAATGCATTCAAACATTTTAAGGAATAGAAAATAGGAGAGGAAATTACTTCTTTGTAACAACTGATCTCTTGCTATAGACACTCTTCAACAATAGTGCAAATGATTTGGTAATATTTTAACTTTATAGCAGGTATTACTAGACAAGTTTATTTTATTAGCCAGTCTTGGGCATTTTTGGATATGCAGGCTGTTCTTTGTTTTCATCTCAGACTTTTCAGTTCTCATTTGGGCCTGAGATGCCAAATAAAGCACTTTTAAAAAAATGTAATACAATATCGTGTTACCAATCCTGATGCCAGACTTTAATCAAAATTTTCGAACCTGTATAACTTTATCCTTACTCCAATAATGAGCCAGAAGCTACTGAGCCTCCTGAGTTCCTCTTAGAAAGTCCTTACCCTAAAGCCATGCATTTATATACTGTCTCTTTATTGTTGTCTACCATACTGTTCTTTATGAGTTTGGTGTTCTGGTTTGCTTCCTCTTTGTAAACTATGGAGGTTAGTGAAGTCATTTGAGATCTGTAATGCTGAAGGCAATGTTTACGCTCCCACTGTTAGTAAAAGAAAAGACAAAACCCCTTCACTGCAAGTTGGGGAAGAAAAGTAACATTAATTGAGTCCTGCTAAATGTTAGGCATGCTCTATATGCCTTACAGACTGAAAAGAAAGTTACATTTGTAGATGATCGTAAGGGTCAGTCAATAGCAAAAGTAAGTTGTGTGCCGTGTACTTTAAGAAAACAGAAAAATATATGAATTATTTTAGAAAAATTCCATCAAAATGGCTGAAATAAAGTTTTGCTCTTTGAACAAATAAGCTGTTTCCTTTTGAGGAACCTTTTGTTCCATGAAAATCCTGGTTAACTTTAGCTCTTGTCATATTCTGTTTTATTCTCCTTATGCTCACAGTTGTAATATCACCAACAATATGGGTAATGCATCAATTTTTACAACCTAGCTTCTGATGATAAAATTTATTTAGATGTAATAACATTGATTTTTATATCTAATTCCTGTAAGGTTTGCCTCGAAGCATAAACACAGACACTTTATCTAAGGAAACAGACAGTGGAAAAAATCAGGATTTCTCCAGCTTTGATGATACCGGGAAAAGTAGTTTAGGTGACATGTTCTCACCTATCAGAGATGGTAAGTCTGTTCTCTTGCTGGTAGTCAATATTTTTATTCGGCTAAAAGATGTGAATAATAGCTTTAGTCCAATTCTATTCATGGCAGTTTGCTAATTTTCTCCATCCCTGGGGTGGTATCTTTTTCTTTGCCCTGATATTTCAGATGTTATCATTCTAAAATATATGCTAGTAATTTTCACTTGGGAATTATGCAAATAGCTCTCAAGTTAGCATTTTAATTTCCACAAAAGTTTCTTGAAGGAAGTTTTTACCTTCATAGGTAATCTTTCCCTTGTATCTACTTCTAAATGAATGTTCCTAAAATTTTAGATATTTTGATATGCAAAAAAGTCTTCCTAATTTAAAAATTTGCTTTGTATATGTGTACACCTCCCCTACCCCATAAAAACAATTGCCATAATAAAAAACAAATTTTGCCAGCTTGATAAATAGAAGCATTATATGTCATTGTTCATAGTATATGAACTAAGTACATTGTTTAAGTGTGCCTTTTTGGTACTGATATTCATAATGGTTTTCTTAGTGTAATGGAATTATCTCATTGCTAATAGCAATATTATCAATAACATGGATAAATTTCTAGAGGGTAATTTGGCAGAGTTAATATATTCATACTTTTTGGCCTTGTAATTCCATTTCTACAAATTTATCTCAGAAAATACTCAGAGACGCCCACAAAGATTTGTGTATTTACCATTATAAGTGTACTGTGTCAACAGCAGGATGTCAGAGTTGTTTCATCCACTCATTATTTTGTACAATTTCATTTTTTACTTTAAAATTGTCTCTTTTCCAAATTTTCTATAATTTTATAGTCAGAAGGAATAAATACATATGTGACAGTACAGAATTATTAAGTATTTTCTATCTTACCCTTGTCTGCAAATTTCTATTTAAATTGCTAAGTCAAGCTGAAAGAGGAAGGATTCTTTTCTTCAAGTTGAAGAGAAGTCAAACTACATAAAGAGTAAAGAGAAATCAAACTACATAGTAAAGAGTAAAGACAGGACGGATGTGGGTGGAGAGAGAAGTGACTAGTTGCTGGAGTTGAGACAAGTTTCTGGGGTTAGTGCTGAGTTGGGAGTTTCGGCCATTGAGACTCCTCTGGAGCAACTTTTGCATTGAAGAATGTACAAAGGGGTTTTTTGGAAGTGTTTGAGTTACAAATTAAATTCTCTTTCATAGTTTTTAAGACAAAGTTTTTCTTTAATTACTTTTGCTATGTTTAAAAATGTGATTAGCATTTGAGTCATACGATCTTCAGATACATCATGGTTCCACATTATTGATGAAGAAAACTAATAATTTCTAAAATTATTGCATGTACATGCTGTGCCATTACTGGGTACATATATGCACATGCACATAGATGATGTTTTTCCTGATATAATTGTGTGTTTATTGGCCACTTGAATTTCTGGTGAATTTGTTAATGATTTTTGCGCATGCTTTTTATTTACCTGTTAAATTTGAGTTTTATAATTTTTGTTATGGACTAGCAAATGAATATTACAGGATTAAAATAGTCTTATACATATTCTACCATTGAAATAAACACTAATAAAACTTCTTTATAACATTGTATTGCTTTGCAAAATTTTTTTATATTACTTCAGTTGATCCTCTCAAAGCAATTTTGTGAGTTTATCAGGACATGATCCCCATTTTATAGATGCAGAAACTGAAATTTAATTGCATTTGAGTGAGGTCACAAAGCTATTAAGTGGTATAGGCAGAACTGGATTATAGCTCTCCAAAACTACCCCAGGGTTTATTATATTATACCTGGCTCCCTTATTACATGACTCTGTACTATAGGATTATCTGTTCATATTTGCTGCTGAAGTATGAATGAAACTAAGAGAATGTAAAAGAAAAATTTAAATGAGTACTCCTGCATTTAACCTCACTCATATTTAGCTTTTTAAGATTGTTAGTCTCTGAACTCTTTGGAGAATGAATAGGAAGACTAAATTGATATGGCTTCTTTTTCGCTGTTTTTAAAATATGATTTTCTGATTTTGTTATAGATGCTGTAGTTAACAAGGGAGGTGATGAATCCATAGGCAAAAAAGATGGTAAGAATTACTTAGGAGTGTTTTTTCGTGAAAATGAAAAGTGATATGGTGTTAAATCTATGCAGTGTAACAAATCTTTCCAATACTTTGAGGCTTAAAAAAACAAACATTTATCATCTCATAATTTCTGTGGGTCAAGAACTGAGCATAACTTGATTGAGCACCTTTGCCTTCAAGTTTCTCTTCATGCTTCGATCAGGATGTCAACCACAGCTGCATTCAACTTAAGGCTCAACTGGGCAAGGAACTGTTTCCAAGCTCATGCCCTTGCCTGTTGGCTGGAGATACCAGTTCCATGCCAAAGAGCTTCTCTATACATGGGGCAGCTGAAAGCATGGCAGCTGGTTTCCCTCAGAGCCGGTGAGCAAGATAATCTGAGAGGGCATCCAAAATGGAAGCCCTCTCAAGACTATGTTGATAACCTTAATCTTGGAAGTGGTATCTCACCAGTTTTTCATACTACTTTTGTTAGAAGCAAGTTACTAGGTCCAAGCCACATTCAAAGGGAGGAGACTACCCAAGGATGGGGATGCCAAAGGCAGGGGTCATTAGAAGCCATTTCAGAGATTGCCTTCCAAGATACGTACCACAAATATATACTAAATGAACAATTTTAAGTTATCAAAAATTAATACTGACTAAAACATTGTGTTTTGCTGTTTTCAAAGTATTTTTACAAATAATACCTTTTAAGCCTTACTGGGTGATGGATATTATCATTCACATTTGCAGATCAGAAAATAGTTACAGAAAGTTTAAGACTTTTGCCTAAGAATACATATCAATTATAGGGTATATCTGAGAAACAAACCAGTCTTTAGAATGTAGATCCATATCTTCTCCCATGTTAATCTGCCTATCATATTAAGTGCTTTTCTTCAGTGTCCAAGATTGGAGGGCATCATGTGCAGTTTTTTTCCTCTTCATTTCCAGGCTTTGACTTTCTACCGCAGTTGAACTCAGTGTTTCCTCCAAGAAAAAACCCAGTAACTTCAAGTACTTCGGTATTGCATTCAAGTCCTCTTAACGTCTTTATGGAATCTCCAGGGAAAGAGGAAAATGAAAATCATGATCTGACAGCTGAGTCTAAGAAAATATATATGGGAAAACAGGAATCTAAAGACTCCTTCAAACAGGTATTTGCCTAAAAGTGATACTGAACTCACTGTATGTGTTTATCCCTAGAAGGCGGGTGCTGCCAGTGTATGTATCCTACTTATTAACAGTGCTATGCACTTACTCATAAGTCTTGATGTCAGTTTTGAATAACTACAGAATACTTTGAAATCTCGCTTTGGATATGTTGAAGGTTACAGCGATGGAAAGACACTATTTTTCTAAGATGAGATACTTGATATATCTATCTGTACAGGAACACTTTTTTTTTTTTTTTTTTTTTGACGGAGTTTCACTCTTGTTACCCAGGCTGGAGTGCAATGGCGCGATCTCAGCTCACTGCAACCTCCGCCTCCTGGGTTCAGGCAATTCTCCTGCCTCAGCCTCCTGAGTAGCTGGGATTACAGGCACGCGCCACCATGCCCAGCTAATTTTTTGTATTTTTAGTAGAGACGGGGTTTCACCATGTTGACCAGGATGGTCTCGATCTCTTGACCTTGTGATCCACACACCTCAGCCTCCCAAAGTGCTGGGATTACAGGTGTGAGCCACCGCGCCCGGCCAGGAACGCTTTTATCCCTAAATCCTTTTAAAGTGTATTTCCATTGCAGTTGGTGGTTAAGTCATTAGAGCAAACTGATTGTGTTAAGAATGGAATTTAGCATTGTTACTTTCTGCTAAAATACAGTGTATAATATAGAATTTAATTTCTCATGTGAGGGTTCAAAATGATCAAAAATTACCAGGAATGCCAAGCCAGTTAGGTGTATAATATGTCCGTATTTTCATGTTTATTGTTTAGAATGATATTGAAAAGATACCATACAAGAAATACAAAAACATCTTTTATTTTACACATATTGTTGACTAGTTACCACATGCATGTGTGTGTGGTTGTTTTTTTGTTTTTGTTTTTTGCCAGTTATCTCTATTTTAAATGGTATTCAACAGCAGGTGCTTAGTATATGAATGTTTCCTCATCATGTTATTGCTGAGATTGTTTTTGATTAGTAATATTTACTTTATTTTGCCTCTAGTTCTCATCTGTTTTTTCTTCTTCTATACCCCTTCTTATTTTCCTTCATTTTCCTGAACCTACATACTGGGAAAAAAGGGAAAGTAGGCAAAAATTATATGAGTAATAGGAGTAAAACAAAAAATTGTATATTAAAGTCACTATTTATTTTAAATATAAAGTTATCAAAGTTGATCACGTCTGGTGCTGAAAGTGGAAATTTAAATACCTCTCCATCATCTAACCAAACAAGAAATTCTGAGAAATTTGAAAAGCCAGAGAATGAAATTGAAGCCCAGTTGATATGTGAACCCCCAATCAATGGGTCCTCAACTCCAAGTAAGTACATGAAACTTCTTGATGTTTTAAAGTGTTTAATGGAAAAATTATCCCAATTATTTAACTTGTAAAGGAGAAATAGAATAATTGTTAACTAAAAACGTTCAAAGAGTTTAAAATTTATGGAGACTTCTATAGTGTGAGTCTTACTAGAAGACAATGAAATGGATATGAATGATTAAATTCAGATACATTAATCTTCTTTTGGTGTGAATTAGAGTTTCAGTGTACTATGTGTCTTTAATATGGTAGAGATAGAATTATTATGTCGGACCCTTTGAAAAGGGATGGTTAACTACCTGAAAATGTCTTTTTCTCATCATATTAAAGTCTTATTCTTAGAATTTGTGCTACAGACTTATAAAAACTTGATCACATTTAAAGGAATATTTGGTTTAACTGTAAGAGTTATCTACACAAAGCAACTCTCTGTTTAGAATCAACTCTTATATAAATATCTATATTTTACTTGAAGGTTTCTGTGGATATATATTGCGTTAGCTTAAACTCTAAGGCTTTTCCTGGAGCAGCACTTTACTCCCGTTTTCCTTCCATTTGTTTTTAATAGTCTTGGTTTATCTAGTTTGTGGTGCAGCTTGTCACAGTCATCTTTTATAAGAGGAAGTGGTTCATAGATTCTTCAAGATTAATCCCTCTGTCATGTGGTATTACATTAGACAGCTGGTGGTTTATATATTTAGATAAATGACTATTAGAAATAATGTTATAGAAATTTCTAAGGTTTGTATTCCAGACAGTGAATTTTTCCAAGTGTCACAGGAACTCATCTTTACCAGTTTTTCAAGTTTTCGTATGCCAGATCTTATTTAGAAATGTCTGATGTCTTTCAATCCAGGTTGACTATTAATATCTTCTTCATTCTTTATTTTAGATCCAAAGATAGCATCTTCTGTCACTGCTGGAGTTGCCAGTTCACTCTCAGAAAAAATAGCCGATACCATTGGAAATAACCGGCAAAATGCACCCTTGACTTCCATTCAAATTCGTTTTATTCAGAACATGATACAGGAAACGCTGGATGACTTTAGGTAGTAATTGAGAAACCACTCCTTCTATCTAGACCTTACTTTTTTTTTCTAGATGTAAAATCAGAGCTATAGATAATGTTGTTGGTTACTATTGTCTAGGTTCTGGTAACTGTAAAACCACAGAAAACATGACGAGTTTTGTTGATCTTTTAATACTGCATTTATTGATTATGAGCCAGAAAAAGGCACATTTACCTAGGGCAGTTATTAGATAACTCAGCAGGGCAGTCTAGCAGGCAGATTACCATTGTGAACTTTTTTTATTATTAAAATGCGGACAAGTTCTGGTAAGCTCAAATTGGGTTCTTACCTGCAATATGTTCAGAGATCAGCTATTAGGTGTGCTATGTGCAATAATGTAGTAAAAACATTTTAAAGAGCAGTTCTGAATATTTTCAAATAAAATGCAATACTTAATCTAAACAAAATACTTTCTCAGACTTACCCTTGTCTTTCTTATCCTTTGAATTGTGAACATTGTAAAAATGTGTTCTATAATACTGCTTTATCATCTCCATATTTTTGGAAGCTATCTTCAATTATTAAAATCATTGGTGCCTTTTTTCCTTTCTAACCTATAGTTAATGTTCTACCTGAGATTTGGATTACCATAAGCAAGAATGTCAGAGAAGATGTGTAGTGTTTTTGGTGCATGTTTCCTTTTAATGTTTAAAAATATTTTTAAAATATATTTTTAAATGTTGAAAAATACTTTTTAAAGAAAAATTATGATTTTGGCATTTACCCTGCCTAGTATATGTACCAGATAATAAGGATACAGAAATGAATGATCTGCCTGCAACGGCCTTATGATTTAGTTGGGCTAGGTGCAGTGTGTTCTGCTATGTGTGTTTCTCTTAATGTGAATTAATTCATTTGAGATCGGTAAAATAGGACAATGTTGACAATATGATGGGGAAATTTTGTTTGTTCACGTAACAGCAGCCAAATAAGGTACATGTGAACACGAATGCACAAACCCCATTAGCATCCATCTCTTTATTCACTTCCTCTTGGCTCGGCTGTGTGCCCTGTGTTAGAAGTGCTTATTTTGTGATTATTTCCCATCTTTGGGCATTTTGCCCTTGCCTCTGTAACTTGATAGCCCCAATCCTTCTATCTTCTATCCCCTTCCATTAAGTGGCCATCGCTTCTTCACAGTAAGGGTATTATTCAATATTTATCTATTAGACGTTTACTGTGTCTTTTTAAGTATGTTAGTGTTTTTATTAGGATTTGTTTTTGTTGTACTTTGGTTACAAAGCTGCATAGGTTTTTGAGTGGTTTGCCCTAATCCTTTTTCCCTAAGTTCTGTTACCTTTAATACACAGTGTTAAAGAATATGTTTTTTTCAGGAATGCATAAATATTTATGGTGTAATAGCAGAACTGTCTAGGTACAGCTGACTATAATACAATGTGAGGAAAGTGATGTTGAAATCACTGAAAGGGAGCAGTTCTTCTGCGGGGGCAGATTAGAAAGGTGCCACTGAAGAGATTTTACTTTATACTGAAGTGTGTGGGAACAGCATGAGCAGAGACATGATCATACATTCTAGGAATGTTTGCATAGAGAAGGCACTGTGGTAAAAGATGAGGCCTGAGGGACAGTTGGGAAGGTCTTAACATGCAGGTAATGGAGAGCCTTCAGAGTTTTTAAGCACAGGAGTAATGGGTGCTGTCTGTTTATTATCCATTTATTCAACAAGCATTTGGGTGTCAGTTCACCACTGGCTTCAGATGATTTGAGGACAGTGGGCTCAGGGCCTTTCCTTCAGCAGGCCTGGGGATCTGGGTGCTGGAGCAACTCTGAAATAGCTGTGCATTACTGCCCAGCTGCCAGCTTTAGGGGTGGCTGGAGGTTTTTTTTAACCCTCATATCTTCCTGGCTTTCTGTGCAAGAGAAGTGTGTTAGCCCCTTTTCCAGCCCTGGAGAGTTGCCGCAGCATGTGTGGTGAAGGCCTACAGTGCCTCTTGGTTCTGCTGCCCTGCCCTGTATGTCTGCACCTGGGGGTGGTGGGTAGGGACTTCTCTCAGCTCTTCTGCCCCTTGACCATAGGCAGCCTTTGCTTGGGACTCAGTGAGGACCCAGAATGGCCCAGAGGATTTCTGTAAATTTACTTGTTCTGCCATCAGCCCAGGTGTTCATCAGATTAGGTATTCAGCTACACCTATCATTGACAGGACAGAGAAGGTATTAAGTCAACCATCCTCCCTGAGGAGTATGGGGTGGCTGCCATCTTCTCTGGGAGTGCCTTAGAGGGGTTACTCTCAGTTCTCCTCCCCTGCCCTAGGGCTTTACCGGGCTCTGTGCATCTGTGTCTTAGGGTGTCTTCCCTCAGTCCTCCCGTTATACTATCCCTACTTTTTTTTACATGAGTGCTGAATGAAGGCATGTGGGGAAAAGTTGGTGAGTAAATTCAGACTTTCTTTGTGGCTGAGACCCCTTGGAATTCTAAACTGTCAAGCCAGTGTTTACTTGGCCTTTAAAAATCTTGTTAAAATTTCAGTTCTTTTTACTCTGTCAAGGGCATGAAGATGATGAAAACAGTTATGGGTCTCTTTTCTCCTAGGAGGAACTCCTCATTTTCTGGGTTTTAGTTCATGTAGATTTCTTTCCATTTTAAGCTCTCAGTTGAATTTAAAATATTATGATTTTATAGGTTATCAGGTTTGTTTTCGTTGTTAGAGTTGAGAAATTATACTTTTGCACCAACCTAATACATCCTAAGTGGAAATCTGTGTGTCTGTTTCTGTTGTCTGTTAAGAAGATGTAAGTTTCTTTTGGTAAGCAGATCCCTTTGATCATGTAGTTACTAGGTTTCAGGTTTTCTTAGCACTAGTTTGTTTCTGATTTGCCTTTATTCCTAGTGTGTAGTCTTTGCTTTTCTAGAACATCAGCTGAATGTCTGGAGTATTCTTTTTATCTTAGTGGGTCCTAAACTTCAACTTCTATTTTGCCAGCATCACAAGACTTCCAGAATACTTTCTCTGCTTTTGAGTTGCTTGTTTTATGGTTGGTTTTTGCCATCTAACCCAGGGCGAGCATTGCTTAGAAATCAACAGACATCTCGAGGGGAAATTGCAGTTTCAGGTTACTTTTCTGCAGGCCTCCCCTCTTCAAGATCTTGACTCTTACAGCCGTGGCTACCTTGGTAGTCCCAAACTCTTAATACTCCCTACCTAGTGAGACTATCTTAACCTCCATACCACTGCTTCAGCTCAGTTTCTTCTCCACACTGTGGAATCACGTACTCTAGAAGGAAAAACAGAGGTAAACGTAGGGCTTACCTAGTAGTCTTTCCTTCTTTGCAAGACCATGGCCCTTCAAGTCCTGGCTACCTTGGTGGTTCCCTGATACAGTGTTTTTGTTTTTAATGTAGTTTTTAATATCACTGAAAGTAGAAGAGGAAATTTTTAAGAATACCCTTGTAGTTACAACAGAAAAACAATAAGATATCTGGGAATAAATTACCAAAGTAGTGAAGATTTTTGTAGAAAAACATTTTTAAAATTTTTGTTCAAAAGCATTAACATTTAAATAAATGGAGAGATTTTATAAAGGTATCAGTTCACCTAAATAGTTCAGTAGATTGAATGCAATTCCAATTAAAATCCCAGCTGGGATTTGGAAGAAGATGATGGGGTGATTCCAAAATATGTATGGAAGAACAAAAATCTAGGAATAACCAAGACATTTCAGAGAAGAATAAGGCTGAAGGGGACTTGTCAGATGAATGTGCTTAATCATTAAAGTATAATTAAGATACATAGCATGGCACAGGGAGGACATATTGGCCAAAGGAATCATATAAGCTGGAAAGAAACCTATGCATATATGGAAATGATAGAGAGGTAGCATTGCAGATTTGCATGCAAAATATGAAATAATAAATTGTGTTGTGACATTGGATTTTTTGTATAAAGTTGACATAAAAGTTTATAACTTCATGGTAGGAAATCATTTAAAGTAAAATAATGCACTGCCTATCAAAATACATTGGTAAAGTTGACTGCATGATTAGGTTAGGATATTTGAGCACATTAATAAGAACTGTTCATCACAGAATGTCACAGAGTGAAGGGATAAGATACCTGCAGTTCTCATATAAATAACAAAAGATCAGATTATGTAAAGAATGATTATAAATGAATAAGAAAAGCATTTCAAGGAAGAGGAATAGTATATGAACACAAGAAATATATTCAACCTCATAATCAGAGAACTAAAAATGCAATGAGATACCATTTCCCATTCAGTGGAAAAATATGAGAAATCTGGTAATACTCGGTCTTGATGATGATATAGAGCAAGAAGAACTCTGTTATACTGGTGATGAACATGTCCATTGATACTACCTTTGGAAAACAATTTGCATGATTTTGTAAAATGGAGTATACTCTTGAGTATATGTCATTGATGGACATTGGCCCATGTGAGTTGGGAGATAATACATGATTGATTATGATATTGTAATAATAAAAACTTGAAAACAATCAGAATATTAATAGGAATATGGATACACCAATACAAACCAATGAATTATAGATATATGGAACATGAATCTTCAAAACAATATTGAACTCTTCCTTGAAAATGAGCTATATGTTACCCTTTTTTGTAAAGCTTAAATGCTCAAAAACAGTGAAAACATTGACTACAGATTATATGTTATACAAGAATATTAAAAAAGAACATTTTTTTGTCCAGCAAAATTCAGGAGGGTAATAACTTCTTTCTTGGGCTTTCCCCCAAGAGTTAAGTGATAGAATCAGACAGGAACACACAGGAAGCTTCTATGATTTGGTAACATTCTAGTTCATAAGTTGTGTGGTAGGTGACTGAGTGTTCTTTTATCATTATATTTCGTAATTTTTATGTGTTCTTTTGTAGGAATGAATTAATTGCATTTTATTGAGTAAGCCATGCTATAACCACCCAAATTGCCGCTTGCTACTGAAAGTATATTTTTTCAATAGCTAAACTGATAATAAAATGCTCTTTCTAACCGAGTGAATTTTCTGTATTTCATTGTAATATGTTTGTGTCTTAATGACAATTTCTATATAAAGGAATATAGTATGGGGGAATTCAGTAGGTAGACAGCCTGAGTTTACATCCTACCTTCATCATTTACTGGTTGCGTGATTTTGGACAAGTTATAACTGCTCTGTGGCTCAGTTATTTCTTCGGAAAAATGGAGGTAATAATTGCACCTACTTGTGAAGATGTTTTAAATGAGTTCTCACATTTAAAGTAAAACAGTACCTAGCACGTAGTAAATAAATGCTCAGTGCATTGGTATTTTTATGAGAATTATTAACATTCAGTAATTTGGCAAATGAAAAAGCTTTTTAGTTTCTTGAATGATTTAGAATTGGTTAAACTATTGTAATTCTAAAAAGTATTTTACATTCTTCCTAGAGAAGCATGCCATAGGGACATTGTGAATTTGCAAGTGGAGATGATTAAACAGTTTCATATGCAACTGGTATGTATGGCAAATTTTATTTTAAATGAAAGTAGAGTTGTGTGAATTTTTAAAAATCCATTAAAGGTGATCTATTTTAGTTTTATTTAATTTCTAAAATAAATAAATAGGATGTTTTAGACATTAAATAAGTAAAATAGTTTTTAACTGGTCACCTCCTTTTTGACCTATGAGATAGTTAAAGCTTCTTTTTTCCATGGCTTTCTTCCTGATAAGTAAGCAAAAAGCATCTTAAATGTGCAAATATAAATTTTCCAAATATATTAATTTCACCAGTGATCTTCCATTTATGTTAACAAAGTAGTAAGAGTTAAGTACAAGAAATATCATTCACTTAGTTAATTGAACATGAGCGAAATGATAGCTGAAAGTATATAAAACATAGCCTGCCAAATAAGTGTGAAATATCAGTAATTTAAAAAGCATTTTCCCCTTTTTCTAGAATGAAATGCATTCTTTGCTGGAAAGATACTCAGTGAATGAAGGTTTAGTGGCTGAAATTGAAAGACTTCGAGAAGAAAACAAAAGACTACGGGCCCACTTTTGAAATTTCAGTGTATACCTTAATGTTCTGTAATTTGGGAAGTTTCTGGGAACACAGAACTGCATAGAATCAGTGTTGTTTTCATGGCCTCCAGGGAAAAGATTTTTTTTCAGGTAAAAGTAAAAGGGTGATGGGATTTTACACCAACCACTGTTTTCACCTTTAAAATATGTATATTTTTATAATAAAAATTGTACAGTATGTTATCTACCCAATAGGAAAGTCAACAGGATCTTTATTTTTTGAAAGCTTTAGCCATCTACTAAGTGCCCTTTTTCATAAGAGAAGAAAATTGTTCATCAGAATTGATTATGTTTGTGTTTTAGTCATCTTTTTTTAAACATATATTTTTGATTGACAGATGGCCTTTCAAATTTTTTGGGCTAGTTGAGATTTAAAGTGTTTGATATGCCTTCTATTTTTATGAGAAAATAATTTAAAAATGGCAGCTCGTGTTTCTAAGCGATTACTAATAAAGCATAGGGTTGGCTAATAATTATTTTCTTAACTTGATGAAGTCAAGTATGACTATTATTTATTGTACATTTAATAAGACATTTTTGGAATTTTGAATTGCACAAATGACATGATATCTTTTGCATTTATGTTACTATATTGTACATCTGACAAATCTTTACTCCTGGGTGGTATTTTTCTTTTTAGATATCTTTACCTATGAAAATTGTTTAAGGGTTCATAGGACTTGACAAGAGCTATCTATCTGCTGATTATCTATTGTACTGTAAAATTTCAATCAACATGACAACTTATAATGAGTGGAGATTCCATATTAGATGCTAAATATTACAGTACTATTGCTTTAATTCTTTGTGTACTGTGTATAATATTTTTATATTATTGGCCTTACTATAAAATTATTCAGAAAGGTTGTCAAAATAATTTGTACCTCTTTGGCAGTAGTTAGATGTATACATCTACCTACTGTAATTAACAATTTTAGGTTAAATGCAAGCTTGGGAGGGCTACTGACTTGTTCACCTTCTTGTTGTCTCTTGTCCCAAAGATTTAAACTATGTACCTTTGTATAGTTCTCCTCTCCCATTTTGACTTCTGCGATGAAAGTATTTACCAGAATTAAAAAAAAAAAAAAAAACCTCTAGCTTAGCTTACTAACTTTATTGGTTTCTGAAGTGATAGAAGTTTTTAAGCATATTTAATAAGCATAAACTTACTAATAATTACTTCTAAACATAAAAACAGGATTATTACTTTTTCCCAGTGTGGTTTATAGAATACATTTGTACTGAAGCATATAGGGATGTTAATGTGATCTTTTCCTGACAGATTATGAAAGCATTATGACTTGTAACAAGTTTCCTTGTATATTACTATCTAACAGGTTCAGAAGACATAAATATTAGTGTGTTTTGCCTACATAATGTATTTAAATCTATTAATATTTTCTTACTGCCTTTTTAAAAAATAAATGCACATAATGTGTATTAAAAGAGGTGGGATAAAATACTTTTGGTAATTATATGTATAGATGAAAAATTTTTGTCATGGAATTTAAAAGCTAAGTAAGTATAAAAAATAAAATTTTATAAGCAAAAAATAGGAAACCTGAAATTGAAATTTTGTCATTGGCCAAAATCATGAGAGATTTACTTTGCCACCTGAAATAAAAGAAAGAAAATATGTGAAATGGTTGTCAGATGTTGATCCTTGAGACAAACAAATGAGACCTAAGAAATTCAGTGAACCCCAAACACAAGAAGTAAGAAAACTATGCTAAGCCACATCATAATCAAATTCCTTAAAACAAGCAACAAGGAGAACTTCTTAAAAGCAGCTAGAGAGAAAAGACATAGAAGGACAGAGATAAGAATGTCAGACACTGGAGCAACATCTTTAAAGTACTGAAAGAAAAGCCCAATTTAGAATTCTATAGCTAGCAAAATGGACCTAGAAAAGCTAAAAAAAGAGTTTATCACAAGCAGACTGGCACCATAGGAAATGATAAAGAATGCCTTTAAAAAGAAATTATACCAAACAGAAATCTGCAACTATACAAAGGAATGAAGAACATTAAAAGTGGTAAATATGTGAGTAAATATAAAAGCTATTTTTCTATTTTAAATTTCTTTAAAACACTAGAATATTTAAAGCAAAATAATAATAATAGGGTACTGGATGGTTAATATATACAAAGTGAAATATATGACAATACCAACATTGGGATGATGGAAACAAAATTATACTTCTCTAAGATTCTTATACTGACTATGAAGCGGTACAACATTCCCTGAAAGTAAATTGATAAGAATGTGTATTATAAGACCTAAAGCAACCACAAAAAACAGTGAATAAATAACTAGAAAGCCAGTAAAAGGTGATAAAATGTGATTTAAAAAATCCAAAAGAAACAGAAACAAAGAGTCAATGGGACAGATAGAAAGTAAACACTAAAATGGTAGATTTAAATAGCTATATGGATAATTAAATGTAAATTTATGATCAGTTGAATCTTGGCTTTTTTTAATCCATCTGTTTTGAATACAAGAAACCTGCTTTATACTGAACAGAATGCAAATGAAAACAGATGATGTCAAAATTTGTAGGAATCAGCTAGAGCAGTACTTACAGCGGAATTTATAGCATTAAATGTATAGATTAGAAAAGGAAAGATCTCAAGTCAGTGATGTTAGCTTCCACCTTTTTCTTTTTTCTTTTAAAGACACAGGGATTTCACTCTGTTGTCTAGGTTGAAGTGATCATGTCATAGCTCACTTTAGCCTTGAACTCCTGGGTTCAAGTGAATCCTTCCACCCCAGCCTCCCAAGTAGCTGGAACTATAGGCACATGACACTATGCCCAGCGCAGGATCCACCTTAAGAAATTAGAAAAATAACAGCAGATGAATCTCAAAATAAGAAAGAATAAAGAGATCAGTGAAGAGAAAACAAAATCAGTTGAGGAAATCAATGCAATTTAAAACTTTTTTTTTTTTGTAGAGACAGCATCTCACTATGCTGTCCAGGCTAGTCTTGAAAACTGAGTGATCCACCTCAACCTCCCAAAGTGCTAGTATTACAGGTATGAACCACTCTGCTTCTCCTCTGTTTCCTCAACATCAACAAAAATGATAAACCTTTAGCCAGACTAATGAGAAAAAGAGACAAAATTACCAATATCAGGGATGAGAAAAGTGACATAACCACAATTTCTGTAGACATTTTGATAAGATGCCAAACCTAAATAGTTACACTGGTGAATTCTTTCAAAGATTAAAAGAAGACAATATCCCAAATTTTGACAAAAGTTTCCAGGAAATAGGAGAGGATTTCCAACTCATTACTTGAGACCAGCATTACCCTTATACCAAAATAAGGCAGCATCATGACAAGAAGATTACGCTAGAAAATTTGTCATAAAGACAGATGTAAACATTCTAAATGAGACTTTTTTTTTTTTTTTAAGCAATTTGAATCTAGTGATGGTTAAAAGAGACCAAATGAGGTTTATCTCAAGCATGCAAATTTGGGCTAACATTAAAAATCAACTGTAATTTGCCATATTAAACAGACTAACAGGAAAATTATGTGATCACCTCAATAAATGCAGAAAGAGCATTTGATTAAACTCAACATTCATTCCTGATAAAAACTCATCAAAGGAAGAGTAAAAGAGAACTTCCTCAACCAGATAAAGGGCATCCAAAAGACCCCAGCTAACATTAAATTTAATGCTGAAAAACTGAATGTTTTTTATTCCCTAAAATCAGAAGCAAAGTAAATGTATATAATGTTCTCTTCTATTAAACATTCTATTAGAGTTTCTAGCCGAGGCAATTAAGAAAAAGAAAGAAGCAACATCCAGATTACAAAGGAATAAGTTTTAAAAGCCTCCACTCACAGATGACATATTTGACTATAGAAAATCCAATGGAATACATGGAAAAACTAATAATGATGTTAAAGGATACAGCATCTGTCTGCAAAACTCAATTGCATTTCTATATACTTGCAACAATCAGAAAATGGAATTAAAAATATAGTAGCATAAAAATGAGATCATTAAGTGTAAATTTGGTAAAATATATTCAAGACCTGTACACTGAATTCTACATAACAGAGCTGAGAAAGTAAACTTGAGAGATACCATGTTCATGAATTAGAAGGCTCACTATTGTTAAGTGTCAGTTTCCCTCACAATGGTTTGTAGATTCAGCAAAATTCCAATAAGAATTTTAGTAGGCTTTTTTTTTTTTTTTTTTTTTTTAGAACTTGTTAACCTGATACTAAAATTTGGAAATATATAAAAGATTTAGAATAACCAAAGCAACTTTGGGAAAATAAAGCAGCACAATAGAGGTCTTACACTTCATAATTTCTAGACTTGTTATAAAGCTGTTAAGATAATGCGAAAGTGCATAAATATAGTCAAATAGATCACTGTAGCACAATGTAGTCCAGAAATACACCCACACATGTGTAGTCAAATGATTTTGACTAACGTGTAAAGGTAATTCAATAGACAAAGGATAAACTTTTCAAAAAACTGTGCTGGAATGCACATGCAAAAACAAAAACCCTGATGCATACTTCCTACCATCTACAAAAATAAACTCAAAGTGGATCATAGATCTAAACGTAAAACCTAAAACTATAAAAAAATATTCTGCAAGATAAGACAAAGATCTTTGCGAGCTTGGGGTAGATTTTTTACATGTGACACCAAATTAATCTCCAAAAGTACAAATTGATAAATTGGATTTTCAAAGACTAAGGTATAGTCTTAGAAAGGTACTGTTAAGATAATTAAAAGACAAATCACTGACTCTGAGAAAATGTTTGCCAATCATACATCTAATAAAGATCTTGTATTCAGAATATATAAAGGCATCGCAAGACAAGAGAATAACCTGATTTTTTTACATAGGCAATGATTGAGATAGACACTTAACCAAATAAGTTATGAAGCTGAGTATCGTGGTGTGGTGTCAATTTCTCAGGAGGCTGAGGCAGGAGGATTGCTTGAGCCCAGGGGTTTAAGGCTGAAGTGAGCTATAATCATGCCACTGCATTCTAGCCTGGGTGGCAGAGTGAGACCATCTCTAAAAGTTAAAAAAGATATGGAGATGGCAAATGCACATGAAAAGATGCTTGTAATCATTGTCATTTAGGGAAATGGACACCAAACCATAAGGAGATACTCCTGAATATTTATTAAAATAGCTAAAATTAAAAAGCCTGAGCATACCAACTGTTGGCTAGAGTTGAGAAATGCTAAGTATATGACTGCTGAGAAATGCTGAATGTATGATAGAATATATTGTTTGCTAGGAAGAATGATGGCAAGAAAAACCTAGCTTCCCCCCACTCCCCACCAAGTGGAAAACTATTTGGGGCATTCTAAAGTGGCAGGACAATATATAAATATCATACACCTGTTAAAACAATTATTTAAGCGTGGGATATGTGACCCTGCCCCTGTAGCTCCCTTGTGGATAATACTTTCAAGTATCAGTGGTAAGCAGGCACCAGCTGCCTTCCTAGTTCATCTTGGTTCTATGAGAAAACACAGATCCCCTTTGTTAATAATAATCACCTGTTCAGAGAGAATAACTACGTGGGTCAGAATCTGTTCAAGGCCTTCAGCTGGGAATGCTGTCATCCCTCTGAGGCTCTCAGCTCGGAAGGCCGTTGCCCCCCCACCCCCTCGGGATAGTCCCACTTTGTTGTTCTATCTGGGTGTCTGCTTTTCAATGCCTTCAGCACCACCTCGGTGGGGGGACTCTACGGCTGAGCTGGTCTCAATAAGTGGTGCCCAGATGTGAGGCTCGAACCCAGGACGAAAGGTCACCTGAGGAAAAAGAAAGGAGAAGCTGAGCTGAAGGTATCCCGAGTACTCTTGAGAAAAAAATCCCTAGGGCCAGCCCAGGGAGCTCAGAAGGAGCCCAGGAACTCTTGAAAGGATCTCCCAGGTAAGTTAGGGGGAACCTGGAAGTAGCCAAAGAACTCTTGATAAAATCTCCCAGGGTGAGCTGGGGGAGCTCTCTACGTACTATTAGGGTAACATGGGACAAACATCAAGCAAACTCGAGGCTTATTTAGTGTGGTCTGTTTGGGCTTTAGTGCGTTTTGCCTTAGAGCTGTTTCAGACGAACGATGAGGAAGAAGATTCACGAGAGGAAGGGGAGTATGATGAAGTATGCGAAGAAAGTATAGAGCAAAAGGATGAAAAGTCAAATGAGGAAAAGCTGTGCCCGTCATCCCGCACCTCAGTATCTTGCTGAGGGATGGCCAATCCTCCCAATATTTCTCCATTAAAGAAATTGGAAGCTACCTCGAAGATGAAACTGTTTCTGTTGCCATGTGTACTCCTAGAACTACAGTAACCGGTTCCATTCAGGCAGAAATTCAACAGGCGAGAGAAAGGGATTTAGAAGCATGGCAATTTCGGTTGCTTCCTATACACTGGGATACTTTAACCCGAGCTTGTTTATCTTTCTCTCAATTTTTACAGTTTAAGACCTGGTGGACTGATGAGGCTAATATTCAAGCTAATATAAATGTTAATGTTCAACCTCTGATTAATATTGCCATAGGAGAGCTTACAGGAACTGGTGCATGGGCACCTTTACAGGTAGAAGCTACTATGGCTGATTTAGTCATAGAGCAGATTAGGAAAATA